AACTAGCTTTTCCCCGCGGCTTCGCTCCCAGAAATTAATATTCTTTCTCCATAAAACCTTTTAGCTCCCAATTCACCCTTACAACGTTTTAATTTTGTGTAATGTCGCCATCTTTCAAATACAAACGTAGCAACAACATTTCATCCTTAAGGGTTGATTTTTAAAAATTGCCAAAACACGTATTTGCTTAATTTCAACAATGAGTAAATCCGAGTACAAATAAAATATACTCCATGGAAACGTTGCAACCTCTTTTCATTTGATTAATAATATCAAACAGCGTATATACCAAGTTTCAAGTAAATTCAACCACAAATAAAGTATGTCTCAAACAAAAATTGCAACACCTTTTTACCCCCCTTTGGAGGTTGATTTTTTGAAAATATCCAGATAGGTCTTTCAGAAATTAAATGAGAGACCATTAAGACCAAGTTTCAAGTAAATCTGACCACAAACAATATATGTTCCATTTAAACACTGCAACTCCTCTTCACCACTCATCCCCCCCAACAGAGATTGAATTGTTTAACCAGTTTCAAGTAAATCGGATCAAAAAGAAACATGCAATCTTTGCAAACCCCTTTCAGCTTTCTAAAGAGATAGAATTTTGTAAAATCTTGAAATAGGTATGTATGTCACTAATTTTATATGAAAAAGCATTAAAGCCAAGTTTCAGGTAAATCTGACTATAAATAAAACACAGACTGATGTTTTGACTGATAAATTTTTCGTTTTGATGTCAATTGCGTTTTCTTATACTACTTTTTTTCTACGGGAACGGGATAAAAAGTATTCTATCTCCGTCTCCTGGTTCTAAGCTACCTCCTCACCAATTTTCAGCCAAATAGGTTCAATCGTACACGTACCAGCGACCACTGGTTCCAAATTGCTATTAAAAGTACAAAAGAAGCATGCACGATTACATTTATTGTTTGTCTAGTTTTTAGTATTGATTTTGTGTTGAAAGTACCAAAAAATATTATTTTTTGAAGATAATTATAATTAAAACGACGCATATAGTAGATATATTAGCGCTATGTACTAAAGCAAATCTATTAGGTTTGTTATGTAATAGGTAAGTAATAAGACTGTTAGCTTTAAGTAACTAATTGCAGATGAACGTCGTAGATTTCTTATAAACTACTCATTGTCAGTATTTGATGAACTTCTCCCCCACCTATAAAAATTTCTGACCGCATCATTAAAAGCAGCTTAAAAAATACTTAAAGAAAACTTACCTATCCACAATCTTCCTTTGGCATCTGCTTTTCCATCGTTGAATTGACTAGATGGAAATTGTTTTGCCACTGTTGTAAGAGTACCAACAGCTTCCAATCTGCTACCTTTAGGATACCATCGTATAGCAACAAGCGTTCTATTTAGCCCTGCCACAAATACATGGGTATCATGCACTGTGGGAATAATGGGTGTAACATAACCGTCCAGTTGAATATGATTCAAAATTGTTGTTACAGGATCATAAGAATATATTCTTCCGGCCAGTATGTCAACAAAATATAACAATTTAATTCGATCATCCCAAGTAGGCTCTTCGCTAATGTTGAATGGTTGTGTTAATTGCCGAACACACGGGCCATTGGCGATATAACTATTTAAAATAATAATGATAATTAGAACAATGGTGATCCAGGAAATTAAATTCAAATTAAATACTCACCTGACTTTGAATGTAGTGAGCGTTATTAATGTAACAAGAGTGAAGGGAAATAGTTTAAAGAACATCCTTTTCGTTCGAATGTTTAACTTATACTGGGCAGATTAATACTGGGGATACTGGATCTGGATGAAAATTAATGTTTGTTTGTAGCGGTTAACAAAAACGATTATTTTCCTTGTTTTTTTGTTATTTCCATGTAGAGAAACGCGATGTAAATTAAAGCGAGGTTGATATGCATGTAAGTTGAAAGGGTTTATATGTATATCGATACACATTATTTTCATATTCGTAATTAAAATATGCCTGGTTTTAACTATGAAATGTACGTATATTGTGATTTCCTTATCGTTTGAAACATTGAAAAAGGACGATTGTCTTATCATTTTTAAATTGTTTTTAGTTTTCAAAAATTTTTACACCGTTGCTTTTTTTTTAATTGCACAGAAAGATAAAACTTTAGGGAACGCNACTTATAATTGGATTCAATATTTGTACCCTAAGGATTGCTTCTAGGTCTTTATATTGTTAATTGAATATATAATTACTTGACAAAAATTTATCACAAAAATTATTAAAACATCGGTTTGGTACATTTAACCTTCAGTGAAGCTTCACTTAATCAGAAATATGTGAAGTTAAATTTAGTTTTATATACATATACCAGAAATTTTGCTTTTCATTATATTCATTATCGATTTACGCTCATGCATAATACCCTCAAAACTTCATAACGAAATCATGTCACATAAACTAGTAGAATAAAGATAATTTTATTAAAAATCCAATTTCTCTTTGAAAACTATCATAGAGGAAATAATAGTCAATTGGTGAACTTTTGGCTTCATTCTTTTCTTTTCGTCAACATTGATTACACATCAAAAGCAGAATTGTTTCTATCATTTGATATGAGATATGATTAGAAACCAATGAGTTATTTGAATACTTGACTTTGAAATCACTCATTTATTTTACCTATCGTCTCTTCTATATAAAATTTATCTGTGTAAACTATCATAGAGGAAATAATAGTCAATTGGTGAACTTTTGGCTTCATTCTTTTCTTTTCGTCAACATTGATTACACATCAAAAGGGGAATTGTTTTGATCAATTAGTATCATTTGATATCGTCTCTTCTATTTAAAATTTACCTGTGTTGCGTTCTATAAAAAATGAAAGTTTCTCTAGACTTGGTAAAATCCAAATCCTAATATTATAACAGGGTATAAGAGTTAAATACGATTTATTACAAAAAGGAACCAATAACAAAATGATACATTTGAAAACCCAATTAATTAATAATACAATATTTAGCTAAAATAGTACAACAAAAAATCATCATTCTTTTAAATGACAAAAGGATTAAACGCTCTTTTATAATAATTATTTATCAACAGTTAAAAAATAACTAGCAAATTAATAAACACTGAACTATATTTTCTTAGTATAGTCAGTACTGGTAAATTAACAAAAAATCAGTCATTTTTGCATGGCAATAAAAGATTGAGATTCGTATCTAATTTATGGCAAGTTAATTAAATTTGTACAAGATGCAAACAAGTCAGTATTTTTAATACAACTAGACACAAAATTTTACAAATTATTGGAAAATGATAAACAACCTAGACTCATTTGTACAAGTTCTTTAGAATAATGTATGACTAATAAATAAAGTAATATTATTAATTTGGTAATTTTCACAATGACATGCAATGCAATACTGAACAGTTGTATCACAGACAAAACCAAATAGAAAATAGTTTGGCTTAAAATTTATGTAAAAATATGCATTTTGAGGATGAACATTAATATAAATAAGATATATAAATAAAGTTAATTAATAATCATCACGATAACAACTTTTTTGGAGATTAAGAATAAAATATATATTAAGACAATTTTTTTAAGTAACAAGCTAATTTTACAACATGATCACGCAATCGCTAAATTGAACGCCTTTTTGTAAAAAATTCGAGATCACAAACATAATAATTGAAAAAAGGACAATTATTAATAGATACCTATAATAATACGATTACTTTACATTACCACTCACCGTAGACCATAATAAATAAATGTTCATTTACATCACAAAATAGATCTCCCTGAATCTTTTGATTTTTCTTTTGTAACTAATGAATAACAAATACACGAGATATTAAACATTTCATTATTTAGAATATTAAAAAAAAAAAATAGAAATAATTTTTCAATATACCTATACAGAGTGATTCAAAATTGTTACTATAAAAAATATTTATTTGTTATTAGTACCAAAAAGAAGATTGCACATTAGTTTTTCTCATCTATATTTCTTATATATCTAGAAATTTATCCGAAACTATAGGTCAATTTTTAACAAAAATTTATTCTACTCAATGAAATTAACAATTTTTTTGATGTATAATGCGTTTCCATCGAATCATTTAATTGTTATATTAATTCATTTCTAATTTATGAAATACATATGCATTAATAAATTACATTATCTCTCTAGAATATTAAAGCAGGTTTACATTTAGAAGGATCCAATGCATATCTAATGTAACAGTCACAATTTTTGAATTACTCTGTGCATATTAAAAAATAAAATTGCATAATTTTCGTTTTTTTTACTATATTTAGCAATTTTGGTAAGATCTTCAATTAGTATTTTTATTATTTAGTTTTTTTTTTGGTAACGTTTATGCACTTCGTATCAAAATTTGAAAAGTAGCATAAATTCAAAATTTCTATTTTTTTCATATACAAAATGTAGGAATGATAATTGGTAATTGATAACAGCCGGAGCCTGTCAACGACACGCTGTAGCCCCATCTTTTCCAAACATTTCTTTTAATAGTGCTATGATATCTACTAATAAAATAGATTATAACACAGATAAGCTTATTATGTACCATTTCAATGTAAAAATTTAAGAACTTAAATAATAACAACAAGCAATAACAGGAAAAATAAACAAATCATTTAAAATCGAAAACAACAAAGAAAATCAATATCGAGTATTTCCGCTTCTACTCCTTATAACAAATGCACATAGGCAGCTCATACTTGAAATTAGACCCCTAATCTGGTATTGTTTGTTATTCATATTTCTAGAGACACTAGACTGGCCCTTGGGCAATTCAGATCTCAACCCTATAGGATATCTGTGAGAGAATTTGGGTAGGCAAGTTAGAGACCATCAGCATGTATCCTCGATTCTTGACAAACTCCGAAGACATACAAAATTGCATTGTTCAAGATCAGGTTAAGAATCTATTATCAAGCATCAACTGTTGATGTTGAGTCATTATCAGAAGCAGAGACACGCGATACTGACTTTCTTTATTGCTGTTTTTTTTTGCTCCATTCGTTTATTTTCCCTGTAAGCAGACTACATTTTAAGAAAATGATCATAAAAATTGATTTAGTGATTTACCAGAAAATTAATTTTGAATGGATAATTTTGACACGAAGTGTATAAAAATTACTACATATCACAAATAAATGGAAAACGTTAATCGCGCAATTTAGCTACACGCATATATAAACACAGAAGGCATTAAAATATTATAACAATTTAGAATAAATATCTAAAAAAGTTCTGTTTTTGAGAACTACCAATTTGAATTCTCTAAAAAACCCTAATTGACAATATGGATCATAACACTATTAAAAAGACTAGTCACCAGAGAAAAGATATAAATAAATAAATAAGCAAACTATTAAAACAGTAAGTTACCTACTAAAACATGACTCAACTATTGGTAGAATAAGTACATACATTACTTTGTAATGCAAAAATACTTTTGTTTAATTGTAACTGTTGATCACAGGCAAAATTACCGCCTCTCCAGTTTCCATTACAGTTTCGTCACCTACAGCAAAACTAATTACATATTTCAATTTTAACTGCAAATGATTTGGATTCGCAATAAGCATAATTTGAGTGATAGCCATTGGTGGTATAAAAGCATTGTAGGCGGGTAACTCAGTCGACGAAGGTGATAATAGTTTAACCCGGCAAGACTGAAAACAGAAGACAATTAATGTGCTGTGCATAAAAACATGTATAAATGGTTTAGTTTAAAGAAAACATTTGTCTATTGATAAGTTTGTCATTGATGTGTAACATCTTACCGCTATGGAAATGCGTTAACGGCAGTAGGGATAGGGAAGGAAAAAAACGCGCCATTCAACCAATGCTTCCTAGAGTTGGCATTTGAATGGAGAGAGAAAAAGAAAAGACAGCTGCTAACTTTGGTCTCAAACAACACAATTTCCATTTCCAAAAATTGTTACAATATTTTGCGCGTTACCGTTGTTAGATGTTACACATCATTGTTAATTAATGTAAAAGTCACTTTTTTGTTCAGTTTGTGTAGTATATGTTATCCATGTAGTAGGTTTTAGTAAATTTTTATTAATGTTGAATCGTCCGTCTGCAATAGTATTTTGAAGTTAGAAAATTGCAATTCTTACTTACAGAATACGAGAATTTTTTGTCTAATCTATTCCGTGAAAATTCAGTTATTTCAGAGTAATATACTGTAAAAAATGGTTTGGTAGGAACGCAAACTTATTTGTAAAGTGTTTACAAGTGTATTTTTAAAAAGTTGTATTTTCAGTTCATTTACTAATTAACCTTATGTATAATCTTTTAAATTTGGTTGTTATATATCTATGTATATTATTCAAAAACAACTCTTCCGTAAATTTTACCTTTGGGACAACAACTTGAAATAAGTAATTGTTAAGAGACTGTTTGTTCTTATTTATCGTTGTAACAACAACCACTTGTACAAACTCTTTGGGTTTATTTTTTCCAAATTGAAGAGTCACTGTAACATCCTGCACCTCCTTTAATATGGTCAAAGGGGGAATACCACTCGGTTCAATGTCTGCTAGCCTAATAAAAATATCGTCAATATTCAGGTTCCTTTTATTCTCTTCTTCTTTTATCGATTTTAAACCACTGCATTCTTGCCCTCTGAAACTACTGTCAGAACATTCACTTAAACTGTCATATGCTAAATCTTTTCCGATATCCACCAAAATTTCGTCATCTTTGTCTTCTGGTAGACAATAGTGTAATTCATCTCTTTTAGAGTCCTTATTTTCTTTGGATATTAAGTAATTTAAATCTAAGTTTAAAGCTTCAGAAATAACATCTTTGGTTTCATCTTTGCTTGCATTTTTTATAAGGGTGTTAATTGGCACTTTATCCGGAAATCTACAATGCAAATTTTCATTACAAATTATGTCCAAATAAATGACGATAATTTGCTTACTTTTTAAATGTTGTTATTACTTGGGAATTTAGTTGTTCTTTGATAAGATACTGTCCCAGTTCTCCAAGATCATCAAGTGCACTTGATTTATTAGTCAGTCTACTAACTTCTTTGCTTTTGTCACCACCTGCTAAAGAATATGGTTTATTCAATACTTTTAATAACAATTTATAATTACACATTAAGAGATATGTGGAATTACTTTAAATTTAAAGGACTACATCAAGCTTTTTCAATTCTTTTAGGGCCTTTGTTACAAATTCCTCATTAATACGACATCACGATAGTTCAACCTTCTTCCCAAACAATTTGTCTTAAATATGATATAATTTTAAATAAATGAAAAAAACACTTAACTCATAAAGAACATGGAAAAAGAAGCCCACAGTTTCATGACATTTATTAATTAACGCTAATGCTTAAAAAGCCCAAATTAAATAAAATTATTAAGAATTGATATTGTAACTCCCTCCTCCATTCGTGGCACACTTAGTAAGGCTAACTGTTACTCCATACCCTGTATCATTTTGTACTTCTAAAAAATATGTCCAGAAAGCGCCTTATGTTTTGTGTTTAAGTGTGCTACTATTAAATCGCATTTTTATTTTTTTTAAACTGTAACTATACATTTTAATTTTACATAAAATTTAAAGTTCAATGTTAGAAAATTGTGCTGTCAATAGAATTGAATAAGTTTCAAAAAAATGCCATAAATAGGAATTACATGACTAGTTACAACTGAAGCTAATAAAAGCATGTTAAGAAAATACCTTCAGTATTGTTGACTTTTGACACTGAAGATGGTTTTAAAATATCTTCTTTTAATAAATGGTTTGCACTTTCATCAGGAGTGAATATGTCCCCCAGTAAATCCAAGGAAGCCTTTTCTTTGTCAACCTTTTCAGGAGATTCTTTTAATGTATTGTCTGTTTTAAAATCCAAGTCCAATAAAGATACTCTATCAGAGTTTAGAGTCTTGCAAGAATCTTGAATGTTACCCTTGATAATAACTTCAGTATATTTATCAAAAACATTTCCTAATTCATCATTGGCTTGCAATACTTTACCTACAATTGTTGTTTTTTTATTTCACAACCATATAAAATAATAATTTGAAATCATACTTAAAATTTCTTCATTATTCTGAGATTCTGAAGCTAACTTAAAAATATTTGAACGAAGTCTTTGACAACTTTGGTAAAGTTCCTTAATCAGTTCCAAATCATCACTAGATGAAATGCCTGGCCTATAACTGTCAAGCATTTCGGTAAGTAATTTTACATTATTATACACAGATTCTAGTTCAGTTATTTTTCTTGCTTTAAATTCTGAAGCCCGTTCATCCTGCAAGTGAATATGTACTGCATAATAAACCATGGATGTATTTCAATATTTCTTATTTTATTACCTCTTTTACCATGTTCTTTATAAGTCTATTTGCAGCTTGTAGGTCTTCAGGATTTTTACTTTGAAGAAGTTTATTTAAAAGTTTTGTTTTCTCTTCATCATAAAATACAGAGTGTGATTTTTTTTCAGTATTATTAATCAAAGGATCTACAGGTACAACTCCTTGCTTTCTAAGCATTTCTAATGCTTCTCTAATTTTTGATTCTTTTGGATAATCTTTTGACCAATTTTCCAAAGAATGTATCACTTTTTGTTTAACATTAAAAGTTGTTTGTGATCCTAAATACTTTGGTGAAACTAACTTAATCATCTCATTTAAAAATCTAAATTTTGCCACTTCACTCACAAACAAACTATTGCACCTTTTCATACAAACATCTAACATATCCAGTGTTAGTAAAGTTTGTTTTTCATTTTTAGTATGCAAACGATTTGCAATCAATTTTAATGCGATTGGTGGCCCTATTTTTTCTCGATTAATTATGGCACAAAAAGCTTCTACAGACGGTCTATCTAAATTTGGATGATTAGGATTAGTAGCTGCATCTTAAAAAACGAAAATGTAAGTTGAATTATAAAACAGCCGGTAAATTACTTACGAAGTAAAGCAGTTAAGCTTGTTGTTAAAATATCCATTATTTAATTACATTAGTTTGTCGTGCATTATCAAGCTAAGAAATAGTAAATCAATACATTTCTTTAAAGATTACACTATAGCAAACGATACCTTTAATTTACATGGATAATATATAATATTATAACCATATTATAGCAAGAACAACAATCACAATTGTCACACCTGTCACACTTGTATTCCTAGACTAGCTTGTATTCTTCTATTCATAGATACTTCTATTGTAAACCATAATACAACATGATGACAACATAAAAGAAAAGATACCGCAAGTAGTGACTCATGTATGGTTACCAAATTTTTTCTACATATTTTTTAAATCGGACAACATCTGAAAACGTCAGGATTATAAGGACTACCTAATCTATGACTATAAGGATTACAAAATTATAATTAGATTTGACAATTTCACACAAACACAAAAGTAATTTTATGCACAATTACTCTATCTACACAAATAGTATTGATCATAGAGATGACATTCAGGGAGAAGAAGAAATTTATTAGGTTATATTGGTTATTTTTATCACTATCAATCACTATTACTATTATTAGTAACATAAGTAACTAATAATGTAATAAAAAAAGTATTAATAGTGGTATTATGCATCATAAATAGTGTATTAAATTATTGAAAAGATGTGATGATTGGTGTCAACTTCACCGATTATTTATCATGTCATTTATTCTAAATATTGGATTAAACAAATAGTGACTGATTTACGATATTAATGTAATTCTTTAATTATAATAAATTACATTAAACCCGTAAAACAAACATTTTGTATGCAAAATGGCCAATACTGGTGTTTTGCCCTTTGTAAGAGGTTTGGATTTTGCAAGAAATGATTTTAGTGTAAGTTGTTTTTTAGTAACTACTATATGACTACCTAATACTCTTTTTTCTGAAGGATGGCAAATTCCCAGAGGCAGTTTCTTTAATGACAGGTGTGCAATGGCTCAAACTGGACCGTACAAATTTAAATGAAGTTCCCAAAGAAATGGGTCAGCTGTTAAAACTTGAACATTTATCATTAACAAGAAATAATTTAGAAAAACTTCATGGGGAATTGACAGAATTAGGTTGTTTGAGAACGTTAAATCTAAGACGTAACAAAGTAAGAAATTCAGGAATTCCTATTGAACTATTCAACTCTGAAGAACTAAGCACATTAGACTTAAGTCATAATAATTTAAAAGAAGTACCAGAAGGACTAGAAAAGGCTAAATCATTACTTGTTCTTAATTTAAGTAATAACCAGTAAGTAGCTATTTAAAATTATGTTTATATATTTATGTTGTTAATCCCCTTTGTAGAATTGATTCAATACCAAACTCTCTTTTCATAAATTTAACAGACTTGTTATTTTTGGACTTGAGCAATAATAATCTAGAGACACTGCCACCACAAACAAGAAGAGTTGCAAATCTACAAACACTTATTTTAAATAACAATCCCTTAGAGCAGTATCAGCTAAGACAATTACCTTCTTTGGTGAACCTAGAAACACTGCACTTACGAAATACACAAAGATCCCTAAATAATTTCCCAACAAATTTGGAAGGTTTAGTTAATCTTGCAGATGTTGACTTATCTCAAAATATGTTACCAAAAGTTCCTGATGCACTTTACTCACTACCAAGCCTCAAAAGATTAAATTTGAGTGAGAATGAAATCACTGAGTTATCTACTGGTAATAAAAAACTTAAATTGAATCTATGTAATTAATTGCATTGTAATGTTATTATAGCTATTGAATTGTGGCAGAAATTGCAAACACTTAATTTATCACATAACAAACTTAAAAGTCTACCAGCTTCTCTATGCAAAATAACTACATTAAGGAGATTATATGTTAACGATAATGAAATAGATTTTGAAGGCATTCCATCAGGAATTGGAAAGTTAGGATTGCTGGAAATCTTTTCCGCTGCTTATAATCAATTAGAAATGATACCAGAAGGATTATGCAGGTAAATAAATAAATATACTGAAAAAAAATC